GCTAATGTTCATTTTTTAAAGGTCTGGCTAAGGGCCCAAAAGGATCATATATCACTGAAAAAAAAATCCTAGATTTCTGGAAAACATTATAGAGACATTCCAGTGCATTTAATTTTTAAAAAATGATATTTGTCAAATTGTTAGCCATCTATTAGACTGTGCACTCTGTGAATATACCACCATTTTAAAGTGTTGATAATGCATCTTATTGGCCTGCCCACTAGTCAAGAGTTCCTGGTAAAATATTTTCCTACCACATAAGCCACTAGTCATCAACCATGTCAAACAACATTTTCAATCTGGATAATAAAATTCTAAGTTGACTATACTCAATAAATAATCAAGAGATATATGATATTAATCATATAATATTTTAAGTATATTTAAATGAAGCTATATAACACATAGAAATTTAAGGCAAAACTTTTATATTAATCCAACATAGGTAAATTTATTAATTACTATGTTTTATAAATGTATAATTTTTAACCCAGTCTTCTTCAGGCTGAAATTCAGTTGCATATCTGTATTTAAAGCCTAGGACCAGAAATCTACCCTAGCTGAAGAGTAAAAATATCAAACAAATTTACTTAAGTTCTATTCTTTTTACCACATATGTTATATATTTTGTATATGTAATAAACATATTTTAGTGATATTAATCTGATATTTATTATCTATATAAAATATATAATTATTGTATATATGTATATATTTAGCTAGAAATATATTCATATGTATAATATACAAATATATTTTTATATTTATAATACATATATTATATTTATTATATTTATAAATGTATACTTTATATCACTATATATAGTGATAAAAATATACATAATATAAAATTTATCCTTTTAATCAGTTAAGTGTACAGTTTAGTGGCATTAACTATATTCGCATGGTTCTGCAACCATCTTTACCATCCATCTCAGGGACTTTGTCAGCCCAGACTGAAACTCTGTACCAATTAATAACTCCCCATTATTCACTCCCCACAATCCCTTGCAACCACCACTTTACCTTCTGTATCTATGAATTCGACCACTGTATGTACCTCATAGGAGTAGAATCATACACAATTTGTCCTTTTGGACAGGCTTCTTATACTTAGTGTAATGTCTTCAAGATTCAGCCACATTGTAGCATGTGACAGAATTTCCTTCCTTTTTGAGGCTGGGCTGTATTCTATTGTCTGTATACACCACATTTTGTTTATCCATTCAGGCATCAATGGACAGGGGAGCTGCTTCCACCTTTGGCTATTGTGATGTTACTAGGAACATAGGTGTATTTGTTTGAGTCCCTGCTTTATATTTTTAATATATTTTTGAGTCTACCCTTAGGCTCATTTCATATTTTCAAAGTGGTTATTGCCGTTTTGAGGGACAGCAATGTCACCATATCTTTCCCTTAGAGTGTTCCCAGTCAAAACATTTTCTCTCTGTGTCTCCTTGCCCTCAAATTGATAGGGCTTCTTATAAAACAACAGACAAGAGACTTCTTAAGAAAGTCTACCATTGACCTATTCATAAATTATGAATATTTATTTTGCTTAGGGTTACTTAAGAGTTACCTTTTGGAATGTCAAAGTTGGAAGAGGCTTGGGAAAAAAAAATTTATTCTTCAACCATCATGTAGGGTCAACATAACTCTCTTCTAGTGCAAACTTCAAGAAGACAACACTTCAAAGCCTTTCTCATCAATCTCTTCTTATGGTTAACACTCTCTCGGGAAGTTTCTTTATATCTGCCTTAATTCTCACTTTGCTGTTATGCTTCTTATCCTGCTTTTCTGTCAGTTCCTCTTTCTTTCCATCCTGAATTCCATATCATTCCCCAAATGTACACACTGATCTTTGATAATTCAAGTAAGTCCCATCTCTTCTTGAATATCCTTCCTGATCTAACAAGATAATTTAATAGCTTCTTTTTCTGAAAAATGGAGATAAAAATTCTTTTTTCCCATTGGTTTGTTGTAAAGACTCAATTGTAAAAGAAATGTGCTGAGCACTTCTAAAGCAGATAATAAGCTCTCAATAAAAATTAGTTGTTGTTACTAATGAAAAAAAAAGTAAGAGGAATAAATAACAGTTGCTTCCTATCTGTATATTACAGTTTTTGTGTGTAAAACCATTATTACTTTGTCATTTAGCTGAATCATGTTTTTGTTACCTTTTCTACTACATCTTATTTTCTCCCTTTTTACTTAAAGCTCTTCCCTGAGTCTTCACTCATTAAATTATCCTCTATACTTCAGATATCCCTAAGCTTGATATGAAAATAGGAATGAAAAATTTCAAATACAATTTAAGGTGAGAAGAGGGGAGATTCTGATTTAATTAACTATCTTCTATCATTATGATGTGCATTCTTTAATACTCTGTTATTAAGCCAGTGGTGTGTCCTTAGCCTTTTTTGGATCCCATCACAAATACGATGAAAACTATAGACTATCTCTTGACTCCCCAAAAATACAACTAAAATTTTACATTGAAATTCTGAGAGTTCATGGATCCCCATGAATATTTCCAGAGAGCCCATAGATCCTTGATAATACTGATTACTGCATAATATAAACACAGTAAATTTCAATTGTTCTATTTTCCTCTGAAACACACTTCATATTTTTTGTCCCATTATTTTATCCCATTCTATTTATTCTTGTCTATACCTTTTATGGCTTTCCAACAGTCAGGCCAAGGCTGATTTTAGTCAAATGTTCAAAGATCTGCAAAAAGCCATTCTAATCACAAGTTAGGGAATTATCTCTGTGTATAGGATAAGTTATTACCTTTATTTCCTCACACTGGTATAACAAGTGTTAGGAAAGTCCTCTTTAGGCATGAACATTGCACATGTAATTTTTAAAAATTCCTTAGTGTATTTAGAAATTCTAAACCCTAGAAAAGTTAAACTTTCTAAATTAACATAGTAGTTTAGAAGATTTACTTAAATGCAATTTCTTTCTCAAAAAAAGGTTTTCCCCATTCTATAGAAAACTGAACTACTTTTGTAACTTTTTGTGAGATTCTACACTATCAGACTAAATCTGATTCATTCAAGGGCTTTTCAACCAGTGAATATAATGTCTTTCTCGTCTGTGATATTCTTATACCTGTTTATAGATAATCAGCTCCGTTTGAAGGCAAAATGCAAATCGAATTAAGAACAGGGGAAACACAGGGGAGAAAATTTTTCCCCATGATGAACAAGGCAATTTGATTCTAAATCAAATACATTGATTGCCAAAAAGTCCTTATAATGTCATCCTACACTGCTTTGATTTTAACTTTATTCTATACTAAATATAACTTTAACTTTGGTTTGATTATAATTGATCTTATTACGTTATGTTTGATTGGATATGACTTATTCCACAATACCCAGTAAGTACTCCAAAGAGGTACATGCCAATGATCAACCATTCCTCTTTATCTGCTAAGGACTGAGTAGTTACGAGTTCTGTTGTGCTATGTATCATTAGCTACCAGTCAGACGCCACCAGTGCCCCCAGAATAACAAACATTAAAAGTCATTGAAAACTCCAGGTATCATCGAGTAGGAGCTTGACAATACGAATGAGAATTTCTTTAAGGAAATTACTTCCAGTAAAGTTGTGGAATAACTGATGAACAAAGAAGGGAGAAAGAGCATGATTGAACTGCAAGTGATGTGATATCACACAATTTCACCTGCTTATTCTATAAATGAAAACATGAAGTAACTGATGACTCTTAATTTGGACTAAAGACATAATTTAGGACGGAATTTAGTCATTTGAGATTTAAGAAACCTGACTCTAGACTTGAATTTGCCATTAATATTGTACAAGTTTGTTTTTCTGTGTCACAGTTGCCACAAACTTTGAATTAGAAGATTGGGTTAGGATTCCATGATGCTAATCTCTAGCTAGGCTGTTTTAATTCCTGGGCTAATATTATTTATTCTGAACATTTACATTCTAAATATGAACATAGTAAACGGTGGTCTTTGCCATCAAGTTAACATCAGGAAATCCTGGTTATAATAATAATTATTCAATCAATATTAACAATTATGGGACAGATAATATGACGTGTACTTTAAAATATATCAGATTTAATGTGTTTTGGTTTAAAATTGTCAAACAAATTTTTGCTCTTTTGTTTCTTAACAATAGAAACTTTTTTATTTTAAAATTTATAATAGCTTAGAGAGTATCACCCACATTTCTGGATTCTAGAGATATTCAGAAGTATGTAGAAAAGGATTCTCTGTCCTCAGGAACAGAGAATTGGGAATATTTCAATACAAATTAAAGATAATCTCAGAGTGTGATCATTCCCTTAAAAAAATAAAACTGACTCTTATACATAATATTGGGTGAAGTAGCTGAGGGATGAGAAGATGTTGCTATAGATAGGACAGTCACCTCTAACAAGGAGAAATTCAGGCTAAGAAACACATTCTGAGAATCCATCGGTCATGCCAAGACACAGAGACAGGAAGGTTCAGCGTTTACACGGTGGGAATGAGGAACAGAAAGGCTAGTGTGGAATGAGATGGGATGAAGTCAGAAGTATACGCCAGGGCCAGCTTAGATGATAAATCAAAAGTGTCCACTAAATAACTATAAGCTTTTAAATATTTAATATAAGTGTATTTCAAGGGACATTTTTGCTTAAAACCCAAATTGACTATACATACTTCTGCTTTCTATGGGGTGTGAGTATGGAGACAGTGGTGTGTGTGTGTGTGTGTGTGTGTGTGTGTGTGTGTGTGTTGGGGCACAAATATTTCTCAAGAGTGTAGTAACATTTTCTTATACCCCTTGAAGAGATTGGCAAAGGACAGATAATGGGAAAGTCCTGAAGTAGATATTTAGAAATGCACTTAGTGAGTTTTTACACGTGCCTTGGCAACTCAGAGCTGAGTTTGGATTCCATTAGAGAAAGTGAGATTCTCTTGTAAAGGATAAGAGGGAGTCTAGTCCATGTGAGGTGGGCACCAACATACCTTTAAGTCCAGAAATCTCCAATATTGAAAATTGTGTTATGTTCTGTAAACTGCTTTTAGTTTCACCAAACTTTCAGTAAAGTCGCTATAAGAAAAACTCTTTTTGTGAGCAGAGTTGCTTTTTTAAGGGAATGAAGGAAAAGGGCTGAGTTCTATGCTTGATTTCATGCAGGGCAGAGAGAATGAATCTGATACAGGAATGAGACTTGGAATCCTGTGAAATCCGAAACTTGAAGCCAGAAGAGACCACAGGAATATAAGTCCCCCAGGAATGCACAGAAATCTTAAGAATGGCATGGGATGGGTGGCTTGAGCTTTCATGTAAGTTGTATAAGTGTTTATGTATTTGTGCATTCATTTCCAGTGTCTCATCTCTATGAAGACTCTTAAGAAAAAGAAAGTAATTGGAAGGGGAAAGAGAGAGAGAGAGAAAGAGAGACTTCTTTCTTAGAAACTAGAAGTATCCATGATGCCAAAACACCCAATCAAGTTGGCAAGGGAGAAAAAAAGTTAATTTAGCTCTTTAATGCAGGGTGGTCAAAACAATTGGCAGGCTGGCCAAGTTTTTTTTACTTCTCAACCACTTGCTGTGGCATAATATAGACACAGCTCAAAAATAAATATTTACAAGTAGAATTACATTCACTTTATTTCAAATTCTGAGAAAATTTCATGAACTTTTTTTAGTTTTATCACAGTGAGAATTCATGTGAATAACTTGTCCCATTTGCTGTGGGACTCTGGAGTTTAAGTGGGTCAGGGTTTTGAAGTGTTGAAAGATATTATAAAGCACTTACAAGTATTCAGCTAGTCAGACTGCTCAATTAGCTGAACGTTTATAACCTCAAGATTTTGACAGAGCATGATTCATGTAGAAATGACCCCTTGGACAACAGATGGCTTTATTGTAGGTATGCTTGAAAGAAAACACACAAAGCAATAGGATTGGAAGGAAAGAAAAATGGAACATTTAGAGAAAGTAAAATCAAACTGAGCAGTATGAACTGTACTCTTTAAAAAAGGAAATTGTTGAAAAAAATTCACTGATACATTTTTAATGATGGGATGCCCTTTTAAATTTTCTCTTAAGAATATTCAAGACACTCATTTATGGGACATACCACAAAACCAAAATAGATCATAACTAATATCATTAGGTGCAAACCATACTCTACTCACTTTACAAATCTAAATTAAGTATTTGTTAAAAAATAGCAGGTATTAGAAAGTAAGAACCAAAATGCCAACTAAAAACTTAAATCCAGAACATTTTTTTAAATTTTTGTCACTTCCCCTACCTGCCCCCTGTACCTAGGGCTGCTTATAGTCTGGAGAGTACTCTGGAAAAGTATTCTGGAGAAACTAATTCAAAAGTACATTTTAGAATAGCATTGTTACCACCAAAACATGCCAAATTTTAATTTAAAAGGTTTTATCAAGGGGATATACAAGGAGTAACAAAAGGCATCCTGTGAAATATGAAGAATGGGTACTGTCATCCACAGGGCCTGACACATCTGTAGTAGAGCAAATATTTCATGCCAGAATGCTGCCAGCAAGTAACTTTCCTTTTCTCCCAAGTCCCACAGCCCTGAGGAAGTGATTCAGGGCCACTGGACACCCAGGATCAGCTCTGGTGTCCAACAATTGAAAGCCTGACCTCCAAGAGTCTGGCAGGTCCTAGGCAGAGGAGAGCTTGCCTCTCTGTGGTTCAGGAGAGTCAGGGGCCCTGTATGTGGGTGATCAGCTTTTCTAAGCTAACTGCTCCTATTTCATAGTTGAAACAATCAGAATTCTGGAGCAGTAAAGGGGCTTCAATCTGGCCACACTGAGTTAGCCATAGGTGAAAACAGAACACAGTCCTTTAAATCCTACCATCATTATCTCTTCACAACCACTACCTACTTATTAAAGGCACAATAAAGTAGCATTCCTGCTTATCAACACTTTAAAACTAAGCATGAAGAAATTTAATAATGAAAAACCAGAAAAGAAGCAAAAACAAATTATATTTTCCCTCTGTACTTATGTGATCATTTATTTTTCCTTTAACTCCATTAAGAAGCCATTTTTGTAGTGCAGAATACTAATCATCTACTAAGTATTTTTACAAATGTAAACATACACGTTAATATTCCTGTGTTTACTTGGTCCCATTACAACTCTAGAGTCAATTATTGTTATTATTATTACCTGCATTTAATAGATTAAGAACCTGAAGCTCAAAGAAAGCAATTTATCAAAAGTCAAACTGCTGATACAGACTACACTTAATGTTTAAATCTAGAACTTCTGGCTCTAAATTACATTTCCTTTCCTTTCACTATGCACTTATAACTCAAATGAATCTAAATAAACATTTTTCTACCAATTTATTATAAAAGCTGCCACCATCTTAATAGGGACACATACCAAATGTATAATTCTTGATTAATTTTTATAAAGATCTTATAAAAATTTATCAATGTTTCAGAGATCATTGTTTACACATGCAAAATACCTTTTTTCCTTTTCAATGTTCATAATTTCATCCAGTAAATACAAAAAAGAAGCCCAACTTCAACATCTTAGATGTTTACTATTATTTCCTCAAACCTCTCCCATTTTGCATATACATTATTTTTCTTTTTATAATTTAAAGTATCAGAAAATCCTTTAGGAAATGTAATCACTACAAATAAAACAATTGAAAGAGGAAAAAAATCAGGAGCAAGAGAGAGAGAAATCTAACATGATTCTAGTTTGGCTTAGATTCTACTGTGGCTTAGTCAAGAACAAAAGTGAAATACTGTATTTTGTGGCTGCACATATCATTTATACATATATGCAAGAGCAAAAAATGGCTTTGTCTACAAATATCGTCCATGAATGAACTCTTAGTTAAGAAGAAAAAATAAATGTGGCATACATTATTACTGATAGAAAATACAGTTAAAGTGCAGAACACAGTTAATCTAGTAAGCACATAGTAGTCCACAAATTACTTACAAGGACAATTTAAGCCCTATCGAGGCTTCTGCAGTCTGCTTCTATGTGAGATAGTCATTGTCACTACATAGACTTTTTTGCCCTTCTGCTAAATGCTCCATGACTTTCTTGGCAAAACTGAAGGTAAGTTATTCTTATCAAGTAATAGAACTGTCATAATTATGATTTTTAGGATCATCCAAATTAATTACAACTTCAAGTATTGACACAGACTAAAATAGCAAGAGCTACTGTTGATCTGAAACTACTCACAGCATGTCCCAGAGAGTCCTTGGCCAGGAGTACATGTAGCTTAAAAAAAGCACATAACCCTTTAGGCCCAGCAGGCAATTAAGGTCTTGGTAGAGATGCCAGCTATAAGTAGGAAAATACCTTTCAATTGTTTACATATAATTTTCCTCTCATAAGTAAGAACTGATTTTAATATTTTCCCCTTCTTTTCTCAAACAGGACCATATGGGATCAAATTTAGTGGGCAGCTGCTTCATTAAAGAGAGAGAGACAGAGAGAGAGAGAGAGACAGAGGAGACAGAGAAAGAGACAGAGAGAAAGGTAGTCATTCCTGTCTAGCAGATCCTGTGATTCTTCCAAAGATGGGAAGAGTAAAAATCTATTCACTTATTAATCTTTAAAAATTTCTAAGGAACTTTGCTAGGGGCTGTGCAGACCATGTAAAATAAGAAGACATTTTCAGACATCTATGGCAAACTAATTAAAAAAATAAAGTCTGGTGTCCTGAGTGATTGATGCCTAGGTAGTCAAAGTGAGAGCTACTACAGTTATTTGGATGTTGTGTTGCTTGTCGAATAACTATACATAGGGCTTTTAATCAACATTGATTTTTAAATGGTATAGTCAAAAGAATGTATTTAAATTAAACAATTTTGAAAATATTTTGAAATATTTGAATAGAATTGACTATGGAATAATTGCAACCTAATCACTAATAGCAATCTAGAATTAGAGTATCTTGGGGGTGTGGTTTGAGAAAACCTTCATAAAAGTAAATGTCTTTCATTTTTTATTCCATGGAATTGATAGAATAATTCCATCAATATTCCATCAAATGTATTTTATTCCATGGAATAAAATATATTTCAATAATTCCACGGAACAGAATACATTTTCATCCTGCTGAAATTTTAATTTTACTTCTATATTTGAGAATATCAGCTTCTACAGGATAAGAAACTCTGTGTCTTTCTAAATACATTAACTCTTTAATGTAAATTTTAAATGTGTTTTAGGCCATTCAATTATAAACAGTGACTTGGACACCTTTACACATTTAAAAGTAGAATTAATAAAATAAATTACCTTTCAGAGTTTAATTTATTTGTATTTATTTATTTTAAAAATATTAACTTGGAATTTACACATGAGAATTTCCAAATGAGGTAGCAGGCATATGATATTCCTCTAGCACTTTTTACATTATGCTAACAATAAGAAAGATTGACATAAAAGAAAACATTAAGAATTCACAGTTTTGTTTTCATTTATCCTGATATTTTTATTTAAGAAAAACTAGCTAAACTTTCTTAAAATCCAAACATATGGTACAAGGGCCCAAAAGAACCTTCAGACTTCCACATATGGCTTTAACTCAAATAAGAAATTTCACAAGCCAATACAGGCAACTATCCCCCAAATTTTTCTGAATTCCTTGATTCACTGTATGAAGATAATTCACACAAACACACACACACACACACACACACACACCCCAAATCAAACTAAACAAAACAAAATAATCCAAAACCCAAAAACCCCCAAACAGGCTCAGCATGGTGGCTCTCACCTGTAATCCCAGCACTTTGGGAGGCCAAGACGGAAGTATTGCTTTAGTGCAAGAGTTCGGGACAAGCCTGGGCAACATAGTGGGACCCTGTCTCTACAGAAAATAATTTTAAAAATTAGCCAGGCATGGTGTTGCACACCTGTGGTCATAGCTACTGAGGAGGTGAGGCTGGAGACTTCATTGGACCTGGGAGACCAAGGCTGCAGTGAGTCACGATCGCACCTCTTCACTCCAGCCTAAGTGACAGAGTGAGACTCTGCCAAACAAACCAAAAACAAAACCAAAACAAAATTCCCCAAACAAACCAATAACAAAAACAGAAAACCTGGGTCATTACATCAGAATTTACATGGAAAAGCTTCTGCTAATAGGATTCCTCCCTGATCTAGATAGGATGGAATTAAGAATTCAATTAATTCAGTCACCTGAGCAGGAAAGCAAGCTCTCCAAAACTGATGAGGATGTGTAGATTTTGTAGGGAACAGTCATGGCTTTCTCTGCCAACTTTCTCCCATCTTCAGATTGAGTCACTTTTCCAGGTGTGGGAAAGCACTGCAGATGAGCTCAATCTAGAAGTGAGGAAGAGATGGGCTAGGCTTGAAAAACTTATACCCCAAAAGATTCTCTGTGTTTCTCAATACGACAAGCTCCAGTACCACCCCCAAACTTATTTTACCTCATGAGGGTCACAGCTGCCAGGTGATTTTGTGAAGACCAGGCCTACTGGCTCAGGCACCCTCCTCTCTCAAGTTCCTAAAAGAGATTCCTGGCTTCTGTCTCCTTTCTGCCATCAGCTGCTTCTATTTGGGAGATATTTTCCCTAGTCCTGGAGCTATCAATCAAATAAGTGTTGACTGTGCTATACCTACTACGTAAGTGAAATAAGGGAATCACAGTGTTATTTAGTACCAGAGTCTTGGGGAACCCTATCATTTTACAATAGGCTGTAGCAATGGCTTCCCTTTAGCTACCCTCTTTAATTTATTATTATAAATTCCTCTAACTTAAATTCATGGTATATGCCTGAAGGTCTTTGCCAAAATGAAATATTTCCTGACTTTTTGATTTCCTTTCCCATTTTAAATTTTTTGCAGCTCCTCATTACCTATATTGATAGGAGTGATTCCAAACACAACACACAGTTCAAAAACATGACAAAATACTATTTATCTTCAACATATGAGAGTTACTATTTCCCAGATACCTCCTGAAGAAGACACGTTAGCATGGGGGTCTTTTCCTTGAACCACCACAAGTCATTTTTGCAGGTACAGATGAAGCTGAATATTTCCAAACAGTACAGGAAAAGTCTGATTCTGAGGTGAAGAGAAAAAAAAATATTGAAAAGTGGGAAGAACTACTCAGGCTGAGATGAGAAGACTGCTTTTGGCCAGGAATTTGAGAGCAGCGTGGGCAACATAGCAAGACACTGTCACTACAAAACATAAAAATATTAGCCAGGTGTGGTGGTATGTGCTAGTAGTCTCAGTTACTCAGGAATCTGAGGCAAGAGAATGGCTTGAACTCATGAGCTCCAAGAGTTCGAGGTAGCAGTGAGCTATGATTGTGCCACTGCACTCTAGCCTGGGAGACAAAGTGAAACCCTGTCAAAAAAAAAAAAAAAAGCCAGATGGAAGTGGGGAAGAGCCATGGGAATGGGGAAGAAAAGACAAAGCAAGGTTTTTCTGCCAATTCTGTGGAGATGGCCTAGCCGGTGCCCACCAATGAGTATGACTGGGGCAGCAATAGGAAAGAGAAGGCAGAATGTGTTTCCCACAGGGCTGGCTTCCTGGGCAAGCGTCATCTGTGCAGGTGCACAGCTGTCCACACTCAGTATAATGCTCTGTGTCTCCATCTTTATTTTTGAACTTATGTTTTATAAATGAAGTCTTATGAGACAATTGCACATCAGAGGAGAGATATGCTCAATATGCAGGTACCCTGCTCCTTGCCACCCATGAACAGGAATTTCTGTGGATTTACAGTGGATGAGAGTTCAGTGAGACTCTTGAGTACAAGGTAAGCATGTAATGTCTATACCCAATAGCCCCAGGAGGGCATAATTTTCCTTAGAACCAGAACATGTCTTGAATGCAAAAAGAAGGCAAGGATGCTCTAAAAAAACAATTGCCAAAGAACTCTTCCATGTGTTTTCTTACTTGTGTGTCCTCCCTGTGTTGACCAAGTGCTTATGCTGAAAATGCTGACCTAGAAGAAAAGGGAAAGATAGAGGGAATCCATAGGTTCTTTTCTTTCTAGTGCTTCCTCATCCATTGGTAAACTGAAGGTAGAAAGTGTTGGTAAGAATGTATGTATATCAACAACTGAAATAAAAACCAGTGTTAGTGGTGTACGTGTTAGTTTTGTGAGGCACTCCCACTGTTGTGGTAAGAATGAAATACACAGACATATCAGGGATATGAAATACAAATTGTGTAATTTTGGTGATTCTGCATATGAGTTAAATACTTTTACATTTGCATTTATAACTTACATTGCATTCCATAAAGATTAATGACAAAATGCACGTTAATAAATTAAAATTTAACTTTACTTAGAACAACACTAAATCACAAACACCATGGTAAGTTTAGAGAGAGAATACAGAATAAAGAAAACAGCTCTATATTTTAGTGCTTTTTATGGTACTTTTTCCTGCTTTTTGAACTAGGGGCCCTGTGTTTTTATTTTACACTGGGCCCCACAAATTATGTAGCTGGCCCTGACACTTCTTTATCTCCGACTCCCACTTTGGATTCCTCAGTTGATTTGTTTTTACTATTCAAACCCAAGTACAAGACTACTTGATAGATTCTTCTCTACCCTGCGGCTTGACACATTAGAGCTAGAGTCATTTCAGGCATAGATTCAATATGCCCTTTCTTTCACGATCAGGACCTAGGCCGGATCGTGGCTAGAGACAGCCAAAAAAGTGGTTCAACCCTAGAAAAAACTCTCCTAATTTATCATCTTTTCAACAATTTTTAAGGTAATATATTCACATGACAGTTGTTAGAACCACGGGGAAAAGTTGTTCAAGGACCCCCTATGAAACACTAAATTGAAATTTCAATGTTCAGAATGTGAGATGTATGGATGAGTGCACTTCTCTGAGTACAGAGGTGCCAGCACCCCACCGCAGCAGCCAGCATGGAGTAAACACACTGAAGAACACTTGACAAAGAAATCCCGAGCCTCCCCCTTGGTCCCACGAGGGGCACATATCACTGTGAAAATACTGCTCTCCCCACTTCGCTGTCTTTAATTCTATTTTTACTGATAGCAGCAACAAAGGAAAAATTAGGTAAAATAGCAGAGTTATACAGACACAATGGTAAGAGGAAAAAAGTATCCTTTCATTTTAAATTCAGAACCTGGTTGGGCACAGTGGTTCACACCTGTAATCTCAGCATTTTGGGAATCTGAGGAAGGAGGATTGCTTGAGGCCAGGAGTTCTAGACCACCCTGAGCAATATAGTGA